TATATATATATATATATATATATATATATATATATATATATATATATACGTAACGTTATAATGTGCTTAATACAAAATGTCCTGGGAAAAAAAGAACAAAACATTGAAAATAAACTCTTAAGTAAATTATAAGCATATTTTTTCTAATAAACTACTATATTTTGAATGTTTGGGCCTCAATAAGCACTCAAAAGTTGATATGAAAAAAGGATTTCTATGCAAAAGCGTGCATTTCAGAAACATTTAAACATTTCAAAATATTGTAAATTGCTTATTATTTACAATATATATTTGTTCACAAAGAAAACTTTAAACAGAAATAAAATATTTGTGTTACATATTGGCACAATTTGTTTCGTAAAAATAAGTTTTCCAATTTCTTTCATCTGGGGTAGCTTTTATGTCTTTCACTACCATTCTGCCAGCTGCCAACTATCACCGCCCAAAGTATATTTTTTCAATTTTCTCAATTGAGCGATTTCCCTAAGGTAGAAGGGAAATATTATTATAAAAATATTTTGGAAGAGTGATACTTCGGTCTTTGAAGAAATGTTCGTTGAAATTTTTTAGCGTTTTTATAAAATTTTCATAATTGTTACTGTAAATGTGAAATTTGAAACTCATTTTCAAAGACGTTTTCGAAACACTACATTGGGAGTCATTTGAAGCACATTCACACACAACTACACTAAGGTATACAAATCGCTGAAAATGTGAATTTTAACAGCGTGAAATATATTTTAAAAACACATTTAAAAAATGTTTGAAAAACATAAAATATAGCAAAATGAAGTTTACGGCATCTTAAAAAGTGCAATTATCACTATCCGTACCAAACGTTTCTAGAAAACAATGTAGTGTTTTTTTAGAAAACAACGTTTGCGCGTTCCTGACAAGGCAGAATTCGCGGATTTTTCGAGAAACTTATTCAGACATCATTTAAATCACATTAAAATATAAAACAATAATGTATACAATTTGCTGATAATGTGAATATTAAAATTTAAGAGTGTTATCGAAAAAATTGGCGTTTAACTTTACTGCAAATGCGGAAATTGAAGCTTTTTTTCACAAAAATCTTGGAAAGCATTTGAAGCACTTTTACTCACAAACGTAATAATGAATAGAAGTGCTAGAAATGTGGATATTAAATTAACATTAAATTTGTGTAAGTTTAAGAAAAAGGAAAGAAGACCCCAAAATAAATTTTATGACATCTCAAACTGTGCAATTTTTACTTTGCAGAAAAAATTGAAGCCGTTTTTTAGAAAATGGCGTTTCAGTGCTTCTGATTCATGTGGGATTTTATGTTCATTTTGTTAGAAAACTTTTTAGTTTTCGAGAAACTATATAAGACGTAGCTGAAAGCACATGTTCTCATACGTTCCATAATGTAAACAGATCGTAAAGTACATTTAGCACTATCACTACCAAAAGTGTAAAGAAAATAATAATCGGAGCCGTTTTCGGGAAAATCTTTTTTTTGTGATTTTTTTACTATTACACATATTGCAAGCAATATAACTACTAAAATTTTTAAAAAATGTACATGATCTAAATGAAAGTACTAACTATAGAGAGAAAAATTTTACTTGAAGGAAACATTTCTAACTTCAACTTTTTAATCGCACGAATAAGCCGAAAGAAATCCAAAGTTTGGAAATTTTAGAACATTGAGAGTTAATACTGAAAAACAGCTATCTAAACGCTACTGTAAGGCACAAAACATTTTCAAACTCTCTTTTGATGCTTATTCTTAAGAGTAATTTTTGCCTAAAGATTAAAGGTTCCCTAACGTTTTTTACACATCATTTATTCAAACTGAATGTTATTACAGTTGATATGGCACTTTAAAGTAAATGAAACCAATTCAAAACAATAGCTAATTTAGTTTTATTACTCTCTCCAATTCTGGTTGCATCTTATGAATATTAAAACATTTTAATGTGAAAATGAGAAAGTGGATCTATTCAGTTAAATTTACTTGTTTTTAAGAATTTAAACAGTATTTTACAACGCAAGAAGCAATGTATTCACCACAACACATTATTTATCCCAGGGTCTACGTGGACGTGGTTTTCAACGATATGGCGGCCAACTGGCCCAACGCTGTAGGCTATGGTGGCAGCACTGCTGATACATACAACCTGATGTATCCTGGAGTCCCGTATGGGCCTGGAAATTTCCACCCCATCTGCGAAATCACTAGTTACAGTGATGCCAACTTGGTAATGAACATTATGTTATAGTGACGGGTACCTGATATCGTTTAGTGTACGAGTCCAGAATCTCAGTCTCTTAGACTCAGAATTAGTCAATAATAAGATGAAACTCACACTGTGTGTGTCCAGAAATGCTCTCATCAGGAGAGCTTTTTCCAGAAAAGTTACCGAAGTGCACTATGAGTGAGGATGTCCTTTGATCCAATATAATTTTCCTCAAATTTGCATTACATTTATTTATGTCGTTAATGATACCCTGAATATACTGTATGATTCTAAAATATGCATAGGAGCAATTCAATACTTTCGACATATGTGACACTTTCAAATTTGTACAGCTACTGACTGGCTTAGTCTTTTTCGTATTCGTTTTCTATTTCCTTTGGTCTACGCTAGTTATTCGCTCTTGCCAGGTGCCATGTATCGCCGCCGACAATTCATTTTCTTTGGAGGGGATATTTTCTGAAGTTTTTGGTTGTACTAATAGCAAAACCAAATATTACTAGAATAAAAGTAGAGTAGAGTAAAACCTTGACCTATATGGTAATATACGTTGTAAACTTCAGGCTTATTTGAAAGAAAAGTGTATTTAACAATTATGTATTTTTATGTTAATTTTTCACATTTATAACGATTTGTGTTTCAAGCATTTCTGAGTTGAATTGCTTGAAATGACTTCCAGTGAACTTATTTGGAAACTTAAAAGATTTCTGTCAAAAAGACCATACAATTTTGTGTTTGCAGTATCGCTTCAGAAATACTTTCCGGCTCCATATTTTTGAACGAAAATTTCGTACAGGGCTAAATTTTATTCTTCTATAGCATTTCTGATATTATATTTTGGTTCTACAATTAGGAAACCTAAAAATTGAGAAAAAATGTACGGTGGTCGGTAGACGATAGACGGCAGCTGGCTAGAGGGTGGGGCAAGCCAAAAAAACTAACTCAGATCAAAGAAAAAACTAAATAGTATGAGAAAGAATGGCCATTGTATAGCACCGCAAGTTGCACTTTATATCTGGGCGTTCAACAGGTGCGCAACTGTGAACTCAGCGGCCTTCACGATCTTGATCAATCCCAAGACTACGTTCGCGGAAAGATCATTGGCTACTTGAACACCCTGGTTGACTATGGCGTGGCGGGATTCCGGTGAGTAGAAAATGGAACTGGGTTCCGCAAATGTTAAACTTGATACATTGACATTTCCAAAGAACATCCTTGGATGAATTGTGTTCCTTGACTGGTTAATTTAACACAGTGTGGATGCTGCCAAGCACATGTGGCCCGCGGATCTGGAATACATTTACAGCCAAGTAAAGAACCTCAACACCCAGTGGTTTGCAAGCAACACGAGGCCATTCTTCTATCAGGAAGTCATCGATCAAAGTATGTCATCTACTATAACAACTTTTTAAATATACTGTCCTTTAATATTTTGCCCCATCGCGTTTCTTATTTACCATCATTCTCAATCACCAATTTTATAAACAGGTCTGTCATTACGATTACGTTGTTACTTTTTACTTTCTCATATGCGTTATAATTTATATAATTTACGTCTTTATAATGAGTACATAAGCATTATGGCAAGGATGCTTAATATATAACTTGCATTAAACTTACAACTATTCCTATCTACATATTTGCATTATGCACATTACTCTCATCACTCTCACTAGTTTGCGTGGTCTGGATACGGAATAATACACTTGTACAATACTGTGATGTTAACAGCCCTGGTTGTAATTATTAACCAGTTTCTCGGTTAACGCGGGTCTAAGGGCCGAGACCGAAGGAAATACAAAACTAATACGGGAAAGTGTGTGCCATTCTGTAACACTTGGTAGAGATAGTGCTCAATGTTCTTTATAAGATGACATAAACACTAATTTGCTCTGTTCTTTTTTTTACAAAAATTTAAAAAAGGAATTTTTCATGCTATTATATTTTCTTTTGAGGTAATTTTTCTCACTTTTGAATTTTTGAGCATGTATGCTTTAAATTATTTCAACAATTTTCTGCGAAAATGAGCTCGAATTTCCGCGTTTTAGAAACACTCAAACATCATTTGTTCAAAGATGGCTTTAATTTTTTTCTTCAGACCTTTTGTACATATTGTGCTAATGACAAGGATTAATATGACATAAGCTTCAGTTTGCTGAATTCGTTTACTTTTTCAGGAAATACGAAAATGTTTTTTATATCTTTCAAGTCACTTCCATCGATTTATAAACATTATTGCATTGATGAGTGGAAGTGCTTCAAATAAACTGTTTCAAAAACTCAAATTGTTTGTGGAATGGAGCTTCAAATTTTGTATTTACAGTGACGTTTGAACGCAATTTTCTTGAAAACGTTTCAAAATTTTAAACGAAAGTTTCCGAATAAGACGAAATTTTACTTTGAGTTCAACGATTACAAAACCAAATATTTGAGAAAAAATCAAAAAAGTTCACAAAATGTAGTTTGTGCATCGATCAATGGTAGTTGGTGAGGGTATGTGACAAGACCAAAAAGCTAGCTTTGACGAAAGAAATTAGAAATCTAACTACTACGGCAATTTTTCTTTGTTTTAAAATATTTCCGTTATTGAAAGCATGTAGTTGTAATATTACAAGACTATCAATATTATGACTATTTTCTTAATCATGTAATTAGTAGGGGGTTGATTATGAGCTAAAGAAATAGTGAAAGAAAGAATGTGATACAAAAACCATAAGCCACTATTTGTAAATAACGTTCATCATTAAGCCACAAAACATTAACGAACACTGTTGCAATACGGAGGTTAACTGTGATTTGTTTGGAAACTATACTGAAAAAATACTTGAAAATGTAAGTTTCTTTTGTATTATATTTCTCCAAAAATGTGTGTAGTAATAAAGTTATTGTTATTTTAATCAATAGGAAACTCTCTGTGTGTTCATTAACAAAACGGATACTTTATGCTTTACACATTTTAAAGACAGCTTAACATTTTTATCGCTGGTTTATTATAAAAAATCTGTGTAGTAAGTACCAATCTGGTTGTTTTAAAATAAATCAGTGATAAAATATTAATTTGTCTTAAAAATGTTTAAAGCATAATGTATCCCTATGGTTGCTATTATTGATAATTACGCAAATGAACTTTGTTACAGGTGGAAACGAGGGTGTTCACAGCTATGAGTACACCAGCTTTGGTGTTGTTACCGAATTCAAGTACGGCTCTATGCTGAGCAGTGCCTTCCAAGGCAACAACGCCATTAAATACCTCAAAAACTGGGGTAAGCTGAGACCCTGTATTATTGCAAACTTTGAATGCATCTTAGCGAGTTGAGCGAATAGCAATTACTGTAGAGGCCTAATGTACAATGAGCTATAATGCAGGTCCTGAATGGGGTCTTCTGGATGGCGCTAGTGCGTTGGCTTTCATTGACAATCACGACAATCAGCGCGGATCTGGAGGTGGTGGCGACGTCCTCACCTACAAGACGGCTAAACTGTACAAGGTCCGTTTCTCATTTATTCGTTGTACTTGTTTGCTAGGACGGTGTGAATTTTTTTCTTCAGTACATATGAGTGTTCAAAGGAATGGAGGGCTGGCTCAATTGATGCCTGTATGTTTGTGCATTTCACGCCTGATCGCAAGATGAACACTCCCACGACTTTCAGAGTGTAATCAAGCATCTCAGAGAAAGCTAATAATAAATCCTGAATTTCTTGTGAGTCGGCAAGACTCTTATTAATGGAGAAAAATGCATATATCACTTTTGGATACAACACAAAGCGATAAACAAAGAAATAAAGAAACATTCGTTCAAAGGTGTGTCGTCTCATGGACATCACCTCAAAATTATGATTGCTTTCACTTCTGTTCAAACATTCATGAAATTATCCAATTTCTTCGCAGAATAAAGTAATCTGTCACGTAAATTGCATGTTTTAATTTTGATAGTATATCGTACCGTGCGCTGTCAAATACCTGATTGTAATGCGCATTTACTTTGCTTGGATTATGAATTAAAATTACTAAACTTTCCACTGTCACCGTGCTACTCATTCTCTTTGAACATAATTAAAATTTGGCACATTTTAATACGAAATTTACAATACTAGTATCTCACTAAAACAAGGAACAAAAAAATGAATTCAAATTACCAACTCAATTTAAATGATTCTCGTGAACAAGCTGAATAACTGTGCTACTAAGTTGTCAAGGCGTCTATTTTATCCAGGGCAAGAATGCAGTCCGTTTTCTGTCTTATTTTATTTCTAAATGCAGCCGTATCAACTTTCAATTTAATTTTATCTCATCACACCTCATTTACACTGTTCTAATAGGTGCGACCGATTCCTAAACTCAAGATTTAGCGATCGTAAGCCTGCCGCCTCACCACTCGTCCCAAATCCTATTTAACTTGATCTGTTACCTTGCGCTCCGTGGTTTTGGGCCACAGCCCGTGCCTTCGCCGCGCGCCGTCTCGCTGCCCGCCGCGTAGCCTTGCGAAACCTCTCGTTCGGCGCAAGCGCTGCGCCGACGCCCCCGGCCGCGTTGGGCGTGCTTAACTCCATCCCCGCCGCTCGCTGCGCCCTCCACATCCACACCCGTTGCATCCACACGCCTCTTCCCCCTTCCGTCTCGCCTCAAAGGGCTGGTCGGCTGCGGGGTTCAAGTCCTGATTTATGTCAAGCGTTTTAGTTATTTCCGGCGTCGGTCGCTGCACGCACTCGTGTCACGTTCCTTTGGCGAACGTAAAATTCTCTCCTTGTTAGAATTTGCGAATTTCACGTTCGCAAGCATCATTTAATCTTGGCGCATGACAATACAGTCTTCGAAACGCAGTGCTTTCCAGATTATTTCAATTTTTGCTATCGTTCAGTCCGGCATGCAATGGCGTATCTTTCACCGTTTCCTCGCACCTTCTCAACTACGTAATTACAGTTCCTCTTATTTCAAAACGGCGTTCACTTCTCTCCCAGCATCTCGCACTAAAACAACGAAACATCACCGCCAGCGACTCGACCAACAAAAAGGAACTAGCCAATCATCCACTGAATTTACGTGCCTCCTCTTTCTGAGAAGGTAGGTAACTCTTCACACCCCTCCAGGTATACGTCACATGCCCAGCAAATATTACGTGGTGTTGTGATCAGTACATAACAGGTGACACTTACGCCGCAGTATGCGTTCTCCGTACCCCCGCAATTCTATATAAAAGATAGCAATGATATACATGTGAGCTCGTTAAAAAGCAAACGAACTATCTCTATGCATTGAAAACTTGTATTGCTACAACACTAATTTTATTGGTTTCACTTTAACTATTTTCTGAAGTTTATAAATCTGTCCTATCAAAACCAGTATTCGTATTAAGCCAATCACTTGTATTTGGTTATATCTAATAACCCTATCTTCTGTACGTAATGGATACTACATGTGTTATAATATTATAATCACGTCTATTATGTCATTTTGATACTTTTAGTGTTAAGGAAATGAGAAAAATGTACAAACACATTTTAAGTGTGAATCATCAATATCGTATTCTTGTGATTGTAGATGGCGATCGCGTTTATGCTGGCCTGGCCTTACGGCATCACTCGCGTCATCTCCAGCTATTACTTCACCAACACCGACGCCGGCCCTCCAAGCAATAGCGACGGCACCATCAAGGATGTGTACGTCAACGGCGACGGAACGTGCAGCAATGGCTGGGTGTGTGAGCACCGCTGGAGGGAGGTCCTGAACATGGTGGCCTTCAAGAACACCGTTGAGGGTGAGCTTGAAGCTTCCATGCAGCTGAGTAAACCATTGTAATCACGACAGAGTGTCTTAAGGAAATGTTACAAACCTATAAGGCGTACAGAGAGGTCGAAGATGATAACTTACAAATAATGTACTTCTGCTTCCGGGTCAGTGACCTCATCTCAATCAGGATTTTGTCCAGTATCCTTGATCCATTACGCAAATGCTGAGATAGCCCCTTGTTTTTCTTCTGGACGTACATGTAGCTTCACTATGCGCTCGTTTTGATGAGCACTCCTTTTGCTTGTAATGGTAGGAGTAGAGGTAAGGGCGAGTTACTATATTGTTAGCAATGCAGAAAAATCATATTTGCGATTCGTTTACCGATGCAAATAAGTTTTCTATAACTCGGAAAATAAAATGTCTATTTTTTCATATGAAGCTGTCTCGCGCTTTTTTAAAATTTATTTTTATTTATTTTAAACGTTTACTCATTTTTGAACTATTTATAGTTAAAATCATGAGAAATGATTCTGGAACGCAAGAAAACGTGCGCAGATGAACTTCTCCGCCGTACGTCACATACAGTTTTTGCTGTTTTTTGACTGAATAAATCTAATCTAAACTAATCTAATTTCTTTCCAATGAACATTTGAAAATCGTTGCTAATAAAAGTTACTTCAACCACACAAACCGACATCGATATCACAAAAAGGAGTGTGTGAATAGACACGAAACTTTTACAGATTTTTCTTCAGATTTTTTGCAGTGTATTTGTTGTGGCAAAGTTAGGTAAAGATTAAAACACCACAAATCCGTAAAATAAATAATTAATATGTTGGTAGATGCACTCGGTATGAGCATTCTGTTTCGCATGTCGCTAACAGAAGATTTGTTCAGAATATATTCCGCTAGAGGGCAGTAGCGGTGCTATAGAACTATTTTCTAATAGTTTCGCTATAGGCTAGTATCAGAGTGAAGGATGAAAATTTTTAATCTAATAGCAATATGCTGCAAAATAAAATTACAGTATTTTATTACAATTTGAACCAATTACATTAAAAATGATCTTAAACATCGTGGTTTACATAAAACCGATATTTTTCCTCCTTCACAAGGAATAGATGAGAAGAAATTCCTAGTCAGGTATTTTCCAATTTACATTTAACGACGTTACACATTTTGCATTTACTTCTAATTGTTAGGCAGCTCTGCATGCCCTGGTTTTCAGCATGCACACGAAGTATTTTTTGTCTATGTCAGAATGTATTCTCCTCGTGTGTACTAGTAATACAAGAGACTAGCTCAAATTCAGTAGTCTGCTTCTCCTTTACAATATCGTTTACGACGAACATATCGATATTCAATGTTAAAAATATGTTATTGAAACTAACAGGTACGACCGTCGCCAATTGGTGGGACAATGGAGATATGCAGATCGCTTTCAGTCGTGGAAATGCCGGATTCATTGCTTTCAACGATCAGTACAACACTGACTTCAAGCAGACTTTGCAGGTTTGTTGGACTTTCAACTCTGGCAAATATAAAAAAGTTTTAAAAAACATAATATACAATAAGGTGAAATTTGGAATTTCTGGTATTGTATCTATTATACACGTTACTGATTGTTCAGAGCACTTATCACTATACTTTTAATTTTTCATTAGAATTGTCTGTTTGCCTTAAGAGTATCTCTTTTTCAGACTGGGCTCCCTCGAGGCACCTACTGTGATCTGATCTCGGGGTACAAGCAAAACGGTAGCTGCTCTGGCAAGTCCGTCACTGTCAACGAAGATGGAACCGCTTACATCCAGATCCTTTCCTCTGAAGACAATGGCATGCTTGCTATCTCCTCTGCTGTAAGAATTCGAAAAATATTTTAAGACTGGATAATGTGTTATGGCATAATTCTTCAATTTTTGTTTTATTTTGTTTCAGTCGAAAGTGAATTGAAGATAGTCTGTACCTGAAGAAGACCAAACTAAAAAAAAATTCTTAACTTCAAAAAATGTATTCATTATGTTTAAATAAATATTTTAAACGATATTTTGTTTAGTGATTGAATATGTACAAATGTCTCAGGTTCTTATATATTTCAGCTGGTACAGTTTTGAAATCAAAATTTTATCGCGCCTGTCTGCGGCCAAGTTCAGCTTTCGCCCGTCTTGGGCTGCCCTTGTCGTGACATTTCGCAGGGGTAGCCTCACAAGCAAGCGCAGACGATCTCAACGGGCAGAGGAGTGGCTTAGCCAAATTAATTCATAAATAAAGTAGTGGACGTTCCTAGTTGAAATGTAATATTTTCAAATAAAAATAGATTGAATGAAACGATTTTATGAACAGAAATTTTATTGAAATAAATTCATAACCTATTAAAGCTTTGAATATATGTTATGTTAGGGGAGAGCTATGAAGAAGTTGGGCCGAAGATTCGTAAAATCGTCTTCTTTAACTTTTGTCAAAGAAAATATTTAGAAAATGACCAGTATTTAGACTGTTTGCACACCTTGGCATTAAATATAGTTGTTAGCACTGATTCAACTGAGTAATTGAAAGATCGACTCAAAAACTTAAAACTAGGATGTCAAAGAAATGAACCTGTAGAAGCGAGACTAGAATGTTATTCGGAGGCGTTTTCTGTAATCGAAAGCTTATTGAATAACATTCAAAAGCCAAATTTGACAGGAAGATTTACAGAAAAATTATAAATAACCTCTTGAAAATTCTGTAAAGGTTCCTCATTTAAATTAATATCAAGAAATCAAAATTAATGATTTTTGGAGAAGAGAAAAACTACACATCAAATAAAATAATATTAACTTTTGCTATTTGTAAAATTGTCATTGACGAAGATTTGACAAAGGGGCACATCTTCCTATTATAGAACACCCAGACAATATAATAAAGCCGACTAAGACTCACGAGTTGAGGAAAGTTACGATTCTGATGACCCGTATTGTTTATTAGCCTATTGAGAAAAAATGTTTCCAGCTTTTTGAAGCACGACATTAATTCAGTCTCCGAAGGCCACATATGGTATCCCATTTGAAGCTGAGATAATCATGAATAATATACAGGTGTTCATCCGAACAACGGACTTAAATTCTTATATGCACAACTGCAACGATAGAGTTTTTTAAAAAATGCAAGAATGGAATATCGATAGTGAGTATTTTTAGCGTAGCAATAAGGAAAATGAATGCGAGAAAAACAGGTTACCTTGTTCACGGGCTCAGTTTCAATTGAGGGAATGGAAATTGTGAAAGTCAAAAATTTTCAGTATGGCATGTTCTGCTTGTGGAATGAAGAAAAACATGGATACATTACTTACATTGTTTAAGGTGTACTAGACACTACTAGACAACTACAAACTAGAAAAATTCAGAGGAGTCTGCTGAAAAAATTGTGGATAAATATAGAGAGAATTGATTGGGAAAACAATAAATCTGAACAGGGACAGTGTAGATGAAGATTTTGTGGAAAAATACCTGTATGTAATTATTGCCAAATAAATTAACTTGCTAAAAGAAGTTATAAATAATGTTTTATTTCTTCATCCTTAGTTTTCACTGTTGAAGGTTTAAATTAAATATAGGATTGTAGGATATGAAAATTATAAAACGCAGACAAATTCAATATAAGAAATACTCTGATATCCATTTTTCAAATTTTCAATTTTTTATTCCCCCAAATATTTTTAATTATACTCTCGTTTTACAATGAAGTTAACTTCTCAAGATTCAACACTATGAGTTTCAGGAAGAAATATCAAAATAATTGATATACACGATAATTATTTCGATGTTTCAAAACATTCAGTGGATTAAAATTAATATTATAATTAGAGAAATTCGTGATGACAGATGTTTCAAATTGCGTATATTTGAATGTAGCGCGAAAGCATAGCTTCATGTACATTTTCGAAATTGGCTAGACAGAATGTTCGGCAGGTTAAAAATTCTGGGACCAAAGCACGCTGAGAAGCCCTATAGGGTAGGATTAGAGAGCTGTTCGCTACGTGACCATGGCAGATTCGTGCTTGTCAACTGTCACGAAATGATTCAACGTAAATGTTCAACTTATAAAATTGACCGCAAGTTGTAGAAAAGGTACCGTATGAAAATCGATGTAACAGTTACACTCGTGTATTAATACCCATCATTACATAACTGTTTTATTATGTACTATTATACTACAATTTCTCACCGAACTAATTTTTACAAAACTCATTTGAAATTGTGGAACATTTAGTGCCAAAAATAAGTATGTGAGAAAATAAAATAATTAAAAGTTAATAAATAATACGGTACTTATAACATTGGTAAATTAATGATCACTATTATATATATTTAACACTATGGTATTGTAATATTCTACAAATATATAAAACATTCGTTGTTATTTTCGCGAATGAAAGCAGCCGTCGTTATTGTGTTATCTTTGTGGCGAGCCGCAGTGTTACAATAGTGATAACAATAGCCCCCAATGATCGCTCATCAATTCGTTTGCACATCTCATACAATTAAAAGACGCACTTCTTCTTCTTATCTTGAAGTATTTTTGGCATAATGCCTGTTACACCGCTTAATTTTGGTCCCTCCAGCGCATTCTTGGACGTCCTACATTCCTTCTTCCTCTCGGCTGATAATTTGCCACTTGTTTAAGAATTCTGTCGTTGTTCATTCGCAACATGTGATCTTGCCATGAGAGTCTGTAGTTGGTGACTTTCCCTATAAGACTTTCTACAGTTAGCTCGTTTCGGATTTGTGTTTCTTTGTCTGTCGAAAAGACTATATCCCGCTACCACTGTAAGAAATCTCATTTCCACTGCCTGCAGTCTTGATATATCGTTTTTGTCATTGTTCACACTTTACTCCCGTATAAGCAGGTTGGTATTGACATAACTTTGTAAAATTTAATGAGAGTGTCTCTCCTCACTTTTGAACTGAGTGTTCTTCTTATAGCTCCATTCATTTGATTGAATCGTTCAATTTTCTTATTTATATCGATTTCGCTATAGAATGATATGTTTGCTCACAAGAATGTGAAGTGTTGTATCTGCTCTACTGTTTTATTGCTTACAATTTCTGAGCGTATCGGGTATCGACCTTGGAATGCCATCAAGTTCGTTTTGGTGACTGATATTTCAATATTATATTCTGCCATTATCCGCTGCAATTCATACGTCGATTTTTGTAATATATCTTCTCCTTTCATTGCTTGGTCATCTACAAAAAGTATTGTCCATAATTTTGATGTAGTTTGGTATAGGCTATAAAATTTTAATCTGCTCTTCCACTCACGAAGAGCTTCGTCTATGTAGATATCAAACAGTAGCGGTGAAAGACTACATCCTTGTCGTAGACCTTGGTCCACTCCCGCTTTTCGATCTGGTTTCCAAGTAATACGTATTTCAGATTTATTATACATATTTTCAATTACAAGGATAAGATGTTCGGGGATTCCTTTCTTTCTTAATATTTCAAAGTGGTAGGGTATGCCTGGCTACAGTGTCAAAAGCTTTCTTATAATCTACAATCAAGATGTGGGTTTCCTTGTTATATTCTCTGTTTCTCTAAAATTTGTTTTAAGATGAAGATATTGTCTGTGCAGGATCTTCCTTGACGAAAGTCACTTTGTTCTTCCATCAGCATTGTTTCTGCAGTTTTTCTTAGTCTAGTGGTCACAATTTTTGTATACATCTTATAAGCAACGTTTAGAAGACATACCCCTGTAGTTGTCACATGTTGATCGGTCTCCCTTTTTGAAAATAGGTAGCACTACGGCGAGTTTCCATTCGGTTGGTATTTTTCTTCTATTCCAGCATAGGTTGAAGAAGTGGAGAAGCCTTATTTTAAATTCTTCATTTGCACATTTAAGCATTTCTGCCTTTATGCCATCACTGCCACTAGCTTTTCTACTTCTCATTTTACTTAGTGCCTCTTCCAGTTCTTCCCTTTCTATCTGATCTACGCTGTCTTCAATGAGGTTTTCATTTTCGTCTTTCTTCTTATTCTTATCCCTCGCATTCCTATTTGACCATAAGTTCTTGAAGTAAGAAAGCCGTCCATTTTCTGCCGTCCATGTATGTCATTTTCGATATCAGCTATATATTTATCTCATGAATCCTGTTGGGCTTTTCTTGTTAGGTACCTGACGTGGTTGGAAATTGTGGTGTATTCCTTCTTAGTTTGTGAGGATTTATTAGATAGATATCTCAGATATAGTTTCTTTTTTCTCGTTAACAGCTTCTTCGATTTCTTCATTCCATATTTTAAGCCCTTTCTTCTTCGTTCTCTTTGAAGTAGAGCCTAGTGGTTCATATGCTATTGCTTCAATTATAGTTTTCAAATTCCTCCACTCTTCTTCCACATCATAACTAATTTCAATCGTTTTATTATGTTGGTTCAGACGTTGTTGGTACATCAGTTTGACGGATTCTTTATTTAGTAGATATACTTTCCAGGTTTTTTGGGTGGGACAGGTTTGGCTGTTTTTGATTTTAACCCATCTCTTCAATAATTTTAGCTTTCCAAGGAGTGCAAAGTGATCACTATCTATATCGTAGCTTCTATAAGATCTTACATCTGAAAGAGTTTGCTTATTTTATCGTTTGCCATGATGTAGTCAAGAGTACTAATTTGACCACGTGCTGCCCATGTTTTCTTGTGAATACGTATATGCTTATAGAAAGTGTTCATTATTTTCATATAGTTAAAACATGCAAAATCTCTTAGTCTGCGTCCATTTTTATTCAGAGTATGTTCGTTATTGCGGCCAATTATTTTATTCATAGATGCATTTCCATTTCTGGTATTGAGGTCTCCACATATGACAATATAATCATTTTTATGTATTTCGTCGTGAGTTTTTTGTAGGCCGTTGTAAAATTCCTCTGTAGCCAAAGTTTTCCCCTCTTCTGGTGCGTATACACAGATGAAACATATGAGTGTGATAATTCTGTCTGACGCACTTTAAAAAAAATAACATAATACAATGAAGTATGAAATAATCTACAAATTTTAACTTACGTAGCATTACTGCATTATTTTTGTTCATGTGTGGCAACTGCACCCCGCCTTTTCGTACTTTACTATAAATCCTTCAAATGAAATATACAGAAACTCTAACCTCTAATTATATAAGAACTTCAGAAGGTAAGATAGAGTACTGAAAAATAGATTTCACGGGCTATAAAGAAAGTAGTTTCTATTTTATTTCTGAAATTAAATTGAATTTAGTCTTGAATTAAATATTGATATTGGAATAGTTTTTTGTGTTAATTTATATTAATAAATATTAGTGATAATTTTATGGCGAATATTTTTGAAAAGAGGCATTGATATCTCGGTTTGGTCACATTTTTAAAATGCATACACCAGTGCTTGTCCACGCAGTGCTCTGTGACGCCACCGAAACCTGCTCTCCTGGGCCGAGCCGAGCGACGAGCAAGGAAAGGGCCTGACGCGGCAGCAGGGGCAGAGTGCTCCAGTGGGGCTACGGAGGTGGGGAAGATGTTTGCTTGGACATCGATAATTACGCATATTCAATGATTTATTATTTACAATGTTTTGAATCAATTACAATATGAAGAATTATATAATAGAACATACTTTATACATAACCCAAAGCAATATCGGGCTCTTGATCATAACCGGTACTGTAATTCCACTTCGTCCTTCTATTAGAAAACATTTTTGGAAAAGACAATTTTAACATTTTAGGACAATATTTTATAGAATGGTATATGACGTAAAGAATAAATATTGTTTCAGAACTAATTAAAAGCTAATAAGTAGATAACAAATAGTTTCCCGGTAGGGGTAATGTGAGAGAGGTTGTACCACAGGCTAGATTATTTTTGATGTACAGTTTTGTTTGAATAAGTTGTAAATCCTCGTGATTTTCAGTATCTTTTCCATAATCTTCAATCAGAAAGTTACTTTAATAATCCCATGGTTGCGGACTGTCTGTCAATTCATAGAATTTATTTTTATTTCGCAGGTTTCTCTGATAACTGATGGTTACTACGTAATGAATATGGAGGTTGGACTTTTTAACATACTGCAGTTCTTTCAAACACACTTAACACTTCATCATTGTTCCAGTACCTGCAAAAGGAAACCTTTCGTTCCAAACCGAAAGAAAATGAATGAGTGTATACGGTCTCCCACTCATGTTCCCTGAAAGATCGGAAGAGACGCACTGGTTTTCGTTATCGGCGACCGCCCTCTGCGCCTTCCTCCGTCCTCTCTTTTCTCTCGCTGTTTCTGCTCGCGGAGGGGGATTCGGCTCTCATTTCATTTCTCTTTCAGTTGACAAACGCTGGTAATCATTGTCGACGCTGGATAAAACGAGGAAAAATAGAGATAAATAAATAATTAAATGATCTGGGAAGGGAAGGTCAAAATACATTTTCGAATATCCCCTTTGTAACAAGAGTGGATTCCAGTCTATACTGATAGGTACACGAGAAAGAGCCAATGAGGTGGGAGTATATGCTTTCAGGGGAATGTGGCAGATGAAACGCAGCAGTCCCGTTTCGACCAAGATAGCTACAAGTCTGTTCTCATTCACTTGATATTCCCCATACATAGTGTCAAGCTAACACAATAAGAAATTGGTTTAGAAGCACTCAGTGAGACATTTCAGAGAAAATTATAAATTTATGAAAGTTCTGGTTCATCAAAAATATTCAGTAATTTTATTGAAGAGTATTTCAGTACGATTGACATGTTGATACACACTAATGATTGCCTCACTAATTGTTTCTACATTGTAAATAAATCTCCTGGAAGTTTGGTAAATGGGAGGCAGTAAAACCAGTTTTGAGGGAAGTAATTTGTTTATTTCAACACAAAGATAATATAGTGTAATTAGAGCATTCCCGCGTGCATAATTGCTGTATTGGTCAGGGCTATCCTCTACAACTTGGACTGAAATAAAAGAAAATATCAGAAATTAATAATAATGTATAAAAATATATATGATTTAAAAATGTATATTTTGATTTCGTAAATTAGCTCTAAATAACTTAATATTGTGAGAGTAATAGATTAGGCTAAGTGCATTAACTTACGCCCGAGTGAATGGCGAGCACTCCATCGTCCTCGGAGGACAGGATCTCGATGTAGGCGGTGCCGTCGCCGTTCACCGTGACAGACTTGCCGCTGCAGGCGCCGTTGCTCTTCGAGCCAGAGATTACGTCACAATAGGTGCCCTGGGAGAGTCCGGTCTGCAATGGAAAGGTCGCATTTACAGTTCTTATTTTCATAGAAGATTCGATTGTTTCAGATAGTATGTTGCAGAATAGCACGTTCCCTTAGCTAAGTACGCTCGATACAAATGTCTTAAAATATATGTTGATGTTTCTCCTTTTTCAGCCTTCAAATCAGGAAGTCTGTGAGAAACAAACAAGTCAGCTGCCCAGCGTGCGATAAAAACTCATCAATTCAGTCCTAGTTGCGCTACGGAAATGAATAATTCATAGAGACGTTGATGCATACGTGTGCTCCTGCGCGATTCAATCTTTGTGAATTACTAAAATTGTTACAGAAAGAGCAAACGTTTGTGGAATATGACCGACGGTAATGAATAATGAAGCGCAAATATGTTTGTAGGTCAAATAGTTTCTGTTAAATATATTTTGTGGTCAAGTCGCTCTCGCTAGCCAATGTCGAAATATATTGTCGGGGAATTGTTTTTGGATCATTTTTGGGGAAGGTGAAGGATAAGGACTAAAACGTTAGATAAGTTAACAACGCTCGGAAGCTCCAGAATTTGAAAATAGAGGAGTGCACGACTTTAACACACTGCAATTACATTCATGGAATTAATTTTTTATATATCATTTCCTTAAAAGTTTTGAATGTTTATTTTTTATCAGGTTTTCAAAGTAACAACCGAGAATAAAGATTCTCATTACCACGAATAACGTAATTTCAACACTTGGAACACTCCTGTTTTAAAATAATTTATATTACCTAGCTTTGTATATTTGAATCCATTGTCAAATCTAATTATTCTGTCTAAAAAGAAGTTAGTTGAAGACAATGGCAATTCAACTTTTTGATCGCAGATAAAGCGAATGTGAAATTTAAAAACATTCTACTAAACTTCGTACTGAAAATTAATTTTAGCCCACTCATGCATTACACATACTGCTAGCCAGAGAAAGTTTCCAAGAAAATCAACAAAAATCTCTATTATAAATCACTCAGTGTAAATTCTAACATCGTTTACCTGAAGGGTCTGCTTGAGGTCGGTGTTGTATTGGTCGTTGAAGGCAATGAAGCCAGCATTACCACGGCCGAAAGCAATCTGTTGGTTGCCATTATCCCACCAGTTGGTCACGCTGGTACCTGCATAGAAAATAAGTTCTTTACAATATTGTACATTTACTTCACCAGGAAGGTTTCTATATATTTTAGTGCCAATGAAAATTATTTATTTTCAGCAGGTTTTATGATGAAATATTTAACACTTTTGTTTTAATTTATATTAGATGTTCGTACCTGAATACTCGTTAGTGTTCTGACAAATAAAAGTAACTTTGGTGTTTATATTTAAAAAACGTATTTTATTGCAGTTAATTAGTTATAAATTTACCTCATGATTAGGCCATACATACCAATATATAATATATTTACATTATATAATTAACAAAACTAAGTGCATTTAAATGTAGTTAAAATAAAATCTCTTTTTACTTCCTTATCAAACATTTTTCTTCACACAAGCACAATCTTTATTTAATGTCTGTCTACATACTTTTTGCCAGGAAACACATTAATATTAATATTCTAATAATTGGTTCATGTGTACTAATAATTCTGAAGTCTTACCAGCGACGGTGTTCTTGAAGCAACCATGCTGTAAGAGTTTGCCTCCAGCGGTGCTCGCACACCCAACCGTTGCCGCAAGTGTTGTCGCTGTTGATGGTGACATCGAGGATGTTTGCCGCTGCCGTCAGCAGGAGGGCCGGCATCATTGTTAGTGAAGTAGTAGCTGGACATGACACGCGGTGATACCGTTACGGCCAGGCCAGCATGAAGGAGATGGCATCTGCACAGGGAAATAATCAATGTATAAAGAACACATTTATCTCGATTGTCTATATTACACTTTCTAAAATATCACAGTAGTTATATTTTTGTAAGTAACACCTATTAGCATTACTCAATAAAACCAACTACTGTCGTAATGATACAAGTGAGATTTTAAAAATACTGATAAGAAGTATCGCAATAAGCTTTGATTTTTCAGTTTTCACCAAGACTAGCATTAAATAGCTTTTATTTTTAAATGAATTGTCATGATTGCTTCGTACCTTGTAAAGCTTGGCAGTCTTGTAGGTGAGGATGTCTCCGCCACCGCCAGAGCCGCGTTGGTTGTCGTGGTTGTCAATGAAAGCCAGAGCGCTGTCGCTGTCCAGAAGACCCCACGCAGTTCCTATGAGGAACAAGATTGTTGTTAAAATATGCCGCAAAAATTAATTTATCTATTCTTAATACACTCCTCACAAACTTCCTCCTTCCACTTCTAAAAGAAAATTCATACCATTGACGTATTTTGAAGTTGTATTGGGTAAATTGACGTAGAATTTCGAAAGCTTTGTTTTATTGGTGCTCACCGTAAGTATTATATTTAAGTAACTTTATATTTTCTATATCTCTCCTACTTTGAAAATGCATGTGATTCTTTGATTTCGCTGGTCGGCAGTGATTTTCTTAAATGGGTAACTAGCTTTTTCTTGTGTACTTTACTATGAAAAGCGACATGTTGTTCATTTAAACAGCCTATCCATTCATTGTTATCCAGTTAATGTAATTGTCAGTGCAAGATCCTACAAACGGTAGCGGATCGGTGTAATCAAGGTCAACGTCAGCATGGGCCTACAGGCGTCGGCGGATGGATATGGGCTGATGTGTCACGAAGCAGGAGGTAGCTGTGTGTTGTGATAGCAGGGAGATTTCTCCCAGGGTTGGTAGAAATGTTCTGTAGGTTTTATGCTCACCCCCGCGGGCGTGCACCTTTGGGCTGGAATCTGGGTAGGGCAGGACGCAGCACTCCATCGGAGTGCCCCCCCCGCCCCACTTAAGGCTGAGTCGGGCCATTCTACCAGATCAGAGTTGATGGCGTCTGGGGTTAATTAAACACCACTTGCATTACGCATCGACGTATCCCTACTCAAAAACCCATGAGAATCGAGCACTGCCCCCACGAAGCCTCGTGTCCATCTGGGGGCAACTCCTCCCTGCACCCACCTTGACGCGAACGACGTGCGTTCAGTCGGAATCTAGAGAGACATGAGGGGAGATTTGAAATTACTCGTCGAACTTTTTCTTGTGGGCTTGATATTATGAACTGCCCTCAATCTTCGGTGGGTAAGGTCGGCGGGTAAGGACCAACTGGGTTATCAGATAATCAGGATCGAGTAACCAGCAGTAATCAGGCCATCGGCGGTCGGTTCCCCCTGTGCTGGTGGGTAGGAAATGCTGGAAGAACGAAATTTCCCTCCTTGTGTTCGAGAATGCCACATGCAGTGCCATTAGGATAGCCGCATGAAGGGTCCGCCGAATAGAAATACCGACCGAACATTAGACCTTACAATATTATTTTCTTCGAAACTCACCCCAGTTCACCAGCCAGTGGATGGGGTTGTTGCCTTTGAAAGCGTTGCTCAGCATGGACCCGTACTTGAACTCCGTCACCACACCGAAGCCAGTGTACTCGGAGCTCTTCACAGCCTCAGTGCCAGCTAGAACAAATAAATAGCATTTAATACGCTTTGCCTCATGGGTTCATCGCTTTATTGAAACTGCTAACGTCTAACGGATTCTGAAAACTTTTCAAGCACTGTACTAATGCTATAAAATACGTAACACTCATTGAAAGTTAAAGACAATTTCATTTTTGGAAATTATTATCTGCAATAAAAATCCAGGAAATATGCGTAAGTCGAGTGAAGAAGATTGTCAAGGAATGTGTCTAATAAAGAAATTTGGAAAGTAAACTGAAATTAAAAGTAGTTTCCAGGAAAAGTGAAAATTGGTTTAAAGTTGAAGTCTAAACAGAAGTACATTTTTCTCAAATTAATATTTGAATTATTTCTTTTATGATTTATGCAATTAATGTGCGAATAAAATAATAACACCATACATTTTATTGGGAATTTAAGCAACCAAAAGTAAATTTGCAGAATGTATGAATTTTATGTAAATATTAAATTAGATTACCAGTTAAACTTTCGCACGTGAAAACCTGACCGCATTGTATCCTCCCACATCCGCATGAAGCGAAAAAGTGTATGTTAGCGAAATGCGATTGAATGTAATTATACATACTCTACACCTTCGGCGTTTCAATAAGGGAGATACTCTTAAAGGATTATCTCTAAAAGGCTATATCTGTAGACTGAGAAGTGAGAAATGCAACTCCAGTGGTTGGGTCTCAATAGTCAGATTTTAAGACAAGTTAGGACTTACCATTTTTGGACTACGTTTGGTCTATGCCAAAAAACAGTTTATTAATAGGGTATGCGAAATCAAATTTTCCCTCGCCGTATTTTAATACGTACTGGTATTTATACTTGTAGAGTAAAAATATAATTCGCCACATCTCGGTGAAATTTTCAGTTTCTTTGACATCGCATTTGCTAAAATTAGCTGCGGGTGTCACTACAATACAAAACTAATTTTGGTGATCATTTTATTTCGAAATAATTAGACGATCTCTTACTCTGGTCGATGACCTCCTGGTAGAAGAAAGGCCTGGTGCCGCTGGGGAAGAAATCAGTGCTCAGGTCATTGACGGCGGCGTAGATGGCTTCAAGATCAGCAGGCCACATGTGCTTGGCGGCATCAACACTGTCGTAAGAAAGATCGAAATAGTTTTCAAGACTCACTACCGAACATGTAGAAATTATTGCGCAGATTATGCTTAGTATCACTGATGATTTTATATACAATCCAACAATATTTGCAGCTACATATTTGATTTTAATAGATTGCATGATTACTCACTAAAAATAAAATGTTTAAACATTATTTTATAAAAAATTCCGAATTGTTTATGTCAAAACACCTCAACGAAGGCACGTCAACAAGTCTAATTTATCTCGGAAATACAATAATAAACTTAGAGGAATTCATCACATATTTCTAACAGTGATAAAATATGACGCCAACTAATTGTTTGTATGACAAACGTTTTCAAGTGAATTCAGTTTTTGATTCGAGATTAAGTTTTTGCTGCTCTCGTCTGATTTAACACAAAGATCGTCATTTTAGATGAACAGGATGGACTTACCGGAAACCAGCAACGCCATGGCTAACCAAAGTGTTCAGGTAGTCGACGATCTTTCCACGCACGTAGCTCTGGGATTGGTCAAGATCGTGCAGGCCGCTGAGTTCACAGTTGCGCACCTGAAGAAGGAATTAACCTCGTATGCATTACACTCAACTGCGGGACAGCGGTGATCCCGCTTAAGGCAGTGGAATCTTTGTTTTGTGATTGTGAAAGTCAAAGAAATACCTCCATGTGTCACATAAAATTGTCTACTTACCATTAACAACTTCATAATCGGATAAAAAAGACGTTAACGTTATTATCAGTTAAGGCCAGTTACTAGTTTCCAATATCCTTTAAGGTAAGTTGTTACTTACATTGTTAGCATCGTTGTAGTTGTTGACGGAGCACGTGGAGTGGAAGTTCTCGGAGGAGTAGGACACAGCCGGGTAGTACTTGTTGGCAGGGTCAGGAACATCGCCGCCGTAGCCGACGGGGTTGCTCCAGGTGGCGCACATGTCGTTGAACACGACATCCACGTAGATCCTGCGCCAGACAATTGCAGGACCAGTGAATGCAGAGTAGACTCAAGAGATCAATGTGTGTTTCTATAGGATGGTTCCAAACCACTGTTACGAATGCCTAGGGTGTAGGTGATCGCAGATGATTACTTTCTACCAAAGAATGTTTCCGCCGAGGACAATTGCACACAATTAATTCCCCGTCTTGTTAAAATCTCTGTGGGGCTACAATTCATAATGGGATATAATACGAATTTCTCGCCCAATAGTTAGTTGCTAATAATAAATATACTCGCACTGCAATCCCTCTTCGATGGCCGCTGCCGCCACCGTGGTGCATGGCTGGTGGTGCTTGCTTAGACACAAGATGGCGCCCCTTCTCGGAGCGCTGCTGCTGCTGCTAGAGAAGCTCCCCTCCCCCCCCCTCCTCCCGCAGCGATCAACTGAGGGCCGAACCGCACAGGCGGGCAAACGCTCATTGGAGCGGGTCGCGTTCCTGGTTGGGTAACACTGGCAGCGATCTGCCGGAAGACATTGGAGCAGAGCGACGCAGTGGCAATGGAAGTCTTTTAGAAGCAACACGCGTTTTTCTTTATATTTATTCTCTTAGCTGTAGTGTATACTGTTGTAATTTTAATGCATATTATCCAACACCGTCAGTGACAGTTATGGTGATACTATTTAGTTAAAAATGTCCATTGTTGTGATTCAAAAATTCAAATACTTGATTCTGTGTATGTATTCTCATGTTACATTTCTTTGTTGGACGAGAGCCTGTCAACTGAAGTCTACTGGCTAACTAATTTCATTGTGTTTCTAACCTCTCGATTTTGTACTGTACTATGTTTTAAGGCTTTTATGAAAATGATTGCAATTAAAATATTAATACTTCACGTAAAATCACAGTTCTCGTTTGTGTTCACCTTGAATGCGGAGGGGCCGTGTAGTGGGGGAGAGCGGGGGGGGGGGCAAGTGAGTGCCGTGCTGAGTAGGGGAGGGCAAAGTGCGGGGAGTTTGTTCGCCGGAAGGTGTTCGGTCAGTGCGTTAGTCGAGGCTGAAAGGTACACAAATTGTGACTGCCGCATCGGCTACTGAACTGCAACGCGCCTCGCCGCGCTCTCGGCGAGTTCAGGCTGTTGCAACTCGGCCCCTCGGCGGTTGTGGAGGGGGAAGCGCCCTCCTCACTCTCACTGCTTTTCGTGGAAGCAACATGAATAGAGCGATGCCTGACAGAGGAAGCCACAACCCTTTTTTGTCTCACCGGATACTATGCCATTGCCGAAACAGTTGGAGATAATATGTTTGCAGGACTTCATACTTCTAAAGGACAGACATTTTGATAACCTTTATTTGTCGTGATGCCATTATAATTGACAAGTGTCAGTCTTCGCCAAGCTTCATAAAATGCAGCCAAGATCATATCTATGTTTGGGTCAATATAATGTTATACGTTTTTTTCTGCAATGAAAATTAAAAAAAAAACAGAAAAAAAACCAACGTCAGGACACGACATTGAAGAGCGTACAAGGTATCGACACAATTTGAGGACCATCATTTGGTATTGCTTCACTTGTTAAGAACATACGTTTAAAATTCATTTAATAAAATATTGTTGAATTGAATCGAACTTTCCATTTCCTGTTAAACTTAAAGGTTTCTTTCTCAGTACGAGCTCCTGTTTGGATATGAGCCGCCTAATGGCTCCAAGGACAACTCGCGCCACAAGGGCTTATATTTCGGCAGCTAGTGTTGACAGAAGTCTGTGCTCGTCACTCTCCGACGGCCCGCGGTGCCTCGGGCAGCTGCGTTGGGACAGCTTGGGCTGTGTCTTCGTGGGCGACCGAACGCCGTGCGCCCGCCCGCCCGCATCTGCCACCGCTGCGTCACGTGGTGCTTTGGCGCTCTCAACCTGCGTTGCTTTGGGCCTGCGTTCCCTACCCGGAGAAGAAAAGCTTAACTTGTGGCCATCTCACTGCCCTCCACGGACGGAGCCAGATGGGCGGGAGTGACGTCACAGTCTATATTATGACGTCACTCGAGATGTGTGTGATTGTATTATCCCACTGCATCTGCTCTGTGCAACTTGCAGCTTCAAAGGTAATTCCGGTACTCAAAAAGTAAGATTTCGAGCATTTTATTTTCTTCTGCTCTCTTCTTTCTATTTTTATTGTGTTCTATTCATATTATGTATTAATGAGTGTGCCTCTTTTAGCGTCGCGGGCTCCGGCTGCGCGGTAATCGATGCTACAAATGCCATGATGGATTACTACAAATTTGTTCAACGCCGCCTACCAGTGAATGAAGAAATCAGACCCCGCAGGGAGACTCAAATGTGGGTCGGTATCAGTGATGGCGCGTGGCATAGGTTTCGGCGATTGCAGTGAAATAGTTATTTTGTTCGACGCAAAGCTCTTAAAGGTAGTTATATCAGACTTTCCTCTTGTACAATAAAAAGTATTTTGGAAAAAAAATTACAGTGCTACGGCAATTTCAAAAGTGTCGGTTTGGTTTTAACGTGAAATTGGCCAAATTCAGACTATTCAGACTGTTTTAGACAAGTAAGTAATATTTGGTGAAAATAAAATTGTTGCAGAATGATGTGCGCACTATCTCAAAAAAACTACTTTTAAATAACATTTAATTATTGTTTTCTAAACATTAGTTGAAACGTTCAAAAATTGGAGTGTTTCTAGAGTTTGTAGCAGCCCTAAACCGATTTCTAATTAATGCTCCGTGCCGATGTTCTTTTATCAAAAACTAACTTTCTTCGCTACTCCTTTGGACTCAATTTTTTGATACAGCCATAACCAATACTAATTTGTTAGAACAGATTTCATCTAACAAAACATATCTTTTTGCTAGATGAAAGAAAAATTTCAAGAAAAAATTGGAGCTTTTTTTGCAACCCATTTGTTTAAAATGATATAAGAAGCGCGTAAGTTTCACGCACAATTGAGCAAAAAATACTCGTTACCGAAAAATTGAATACGATCTTATTTTAAGATGTTTTTTGATGAACATATTTCATTCAAGAAAAAATCTCATTATTATTGTAGTTGTCGGATAGTTCTGAAAAAAGTTTAAATTTTTGCAATTTAAAAAAAATCAGTTTTCAATGATAATGAGACCTGCACCATTTTTTTAAACAACCTTCATACTATCCAACAACAAAATTTAAAGAAAAAGTTTGGGGTCACTTCTCTAGAAGTTTAAAAATGTTCCAGGGGCTTCATTTAAAGTACCCACCAAAATTAAAATTTCGATTCAAGAGACCGCGAGGTCAGCCAGATCGATTGGGGGATATCAATTTTGTAGAAAATCGGTTGAACAGTTAAGCCACTAGAATTGTTGTGGGACGGCCGGCCGTACAGACATTTTACCGTCAATCGATATTTTGGAGTTAAGGGCCCACAAAACATGTACGCTGGCTACATCACGTGATACAGGACTTTCTTCTACATTTAGTAACTGGATTTATCCACTTTTTTGATATTAAGGGCGGCAATAAGATTTTTTCTGCCAAAATTTGCCGTTTTTTCTCGCAGCATCAGTAAGTTCCTCTCTACTGCTTAAGCCGAAGCGAGAAGGCAAAAGGAAAGAAACAGAATGTAATCTGCTCTATCTATCTCTAGCTTATATAGCCCCGATGCAGCGGTGCGAATAGGATGCCCCTCTAGTAACGTTACCTGACGCCCACGTTGTTGCAGCGCCTCACCATGTCGGCGAAGGCGGATTCGTCGCCGGAACGACTGATGATCTTGTACGAGACGGGCTGGTAACGCTCCCACCAGGGACGGGAAGGGCTGTTGTTAGGGAGAGCCAAGTATTCGTTGACTGGCGAGGTCTAACAAATGAAAGCTTGGTTAATAAATTAAAATTAAAATAAATATTTCAAAAAAGTACGAAATTTATTAATGGAAAAATCTATATTAAAATTCATCCATTTAGCAACATTTTATTATTGAAAGGAAATAAAAGAGTCACTAGCAATCTTTTGTAAGCTCTTAGGTTAAAAATACTAATAGAATCATGAGCAATGTTTTACACAGATGTTATGAAGATGAGAAGATACAGAACAGGAAGATGTAAAAAGTCACTGGTTCCACTGTAGATTATCAATCGAAAAGACGCAGGAGTGGCTTAATTTTTTAAAGGATGCTTCTATCTCAAATAAGGACACAAAATTCATAAGACTGGTTAAACCTCATCCTTTAAAATGTAAAATTGAATACATTTCAATATGACAATACATTCTACGGTGTTTTGTCTGCATTATTCTTACTGTCAATGGATTTTGAAAATAAAGAAGAAGAGAAAATGAGTTTTATATTCTATTCTAATCAAATTTTTAATTTGCTCGAGGAAACGTATAAAATATGTTAGGCATATATTCCGAGACGTGTTTAAAATATTATGCCGCTGAATGTATTCAGTATGAGTATCAAATACACATCGTTTGAGAAAAGTAATTTCTAAAAATTAAATATTTTTTTGAAAACCAGTTTGATAATGGCAATGATACGTTGACTTCTCCAGAACGGCCCCAGGGAGAGGGCTCACCTGCACGCCTGCGTATCCCATCGGGCCCAGGAAGCGCTCGCACTCGGCGGCGATGTCAGAGAACTTCCACTCGAAGAGGTGCACGATGGTGTTGCGTCCGTCCACCCAGTGAGGGTCCTTCTGGGCGACGGCGACGGCCGCCAGGGCGGGCAGCAGCAGCAGGAGGGCGCGCATGGTGGCGGAGGGAGGGAGAGGGGATGGAACGACGGCCCTACCTCTCTGTGGGCCGCCTCGCAGGCCGGGCTTATATATCCGTCGCTCCTTACCCCGGGCTGAGGCCTCGTGCGGGAGACGTGATGGGAGGGGAGGGGATCAAAGCGAAACAGATGCGTGTGCAATGAGGCGAGGGGGATACGTGATGCTTTCATACGGCGATTGCATGCACTTCATTTCAACACATTCATTTGCAAATGAAATATTCTATTTACTGTTTTAAAGTGTAGTGTAGTTATCGTGGACAGGTATTGTATATCGTTGTTGTATTGAATAGTGTACTTAATAAAATGTACAGATCTGCACTTATCTCTCTATTAAGTTCGATAGTTGTAACCTAACCTAAGTGTTGGTCAGCGGCGGATGGTGCCTAATCTAACAGGAGGGTGCACCTCCATCAAACGTCGGAAATTTAATTTTCAAAGTTCAGGATACTGATATATAAAATGTAATCAATTCGTGTAAATTAATTAAAACTAACTTTAATACAAATTTTTATTGAAATGTTACTTACACTGTTTTATACGTAGTGTCCCAGTCAAGTATATACTCCCGAGCATGTAGTTCTGGCTTTGATTTCCAGTGGGCATTTATGGTTTCTTCTTTAGCTTCTGGAATCTTCATCAGTTTTTGAATTAGGTATTAATTCAGTCAATTAACGGTAATAGAATTAACAAAAACAAAAGAGAAACTTTTACTTTCTCGTCTTAACAAGGGAACTCCTGAAAAGAAAAAGTTACGTAATTATGTTGGAAAAGCTGCGAATTCTTGGCAAAACCACTCATATTGCCAGGCCCTGGCCACGCGAAAATGGATAAATCCAGTGTACATTTCGGAAGCCCTTGGGACATTTCCAAATTTTCAAAAAGTGGCTTCATCATTTTTGATTTAGTTTTGTTGTTGATTAGTGTTTAAATTGAAAGTTTGTAGAAAGTTTAAAAGAATGGCGCATTGCTAATTTTCGTTTAAAAATTTGATTTTTGAAAATTAGATTGATTGATTGTTTCAGTGTTTCCGGGCACGTCAACTAACAGGAAATTTTAAATTTTGTTTAAGCATTTTTTTTCTCAAAAACGGATGTAAAGGTCTGAAAATACGTAATGATGAAACTAAAACTGATAGTGAAGACAAAAGGCTAGCGTATATGAGAAATGGTACTGAGAATTCACAAGCTCTTTACCACCAAAAACTATGGCTAAGAAAATTACTAGAAAAGCTCATGAAGGCTCCTATCAATAGGATACAGAATGCCATCCATGGAAGGCAGACATTAGTATTCAAAGCTCTAAGGCACTTAAATGCCAAGGTGAAAGGTACAGACGAAAATGGATCGGAGAAAGATTAGAAGGAGGTCCATCAGAAGATATGGACAACAGATGTGGACGATGATTTGGATCAAAATATAAATAAATATGACATTTATGAAGTAGAAGACTTATCAAAACATGAGCTAAATAATTCATACAAAAAATTAAAAAAGAAAATAAATGCCGCATGACCTGACAATAGAAGTGCAGAACTTTTCAAACATGGGGAAAGTTAATCCTGTAAAGAATGTTGATATTTGTTAATAAATATTGGAGAAAAGGAAAATCCCTGAAGAGTGGAAATTATCCAAATTTATACTATTGTTTAAAAAAGAATCAAGATGCTCCTTTGGCAAATAGAGCAATTAGCCTTCTAAATACAGGCTATAAAATATGTAGTAAAATTCTAAGTGAAAGATTAAAAAATATATCAAAAGATGTATTATTAGAAGAAGAAAGTGGCTTTATAAAAGGGTTCTTTTCACTGACGATGCTTTCACAATTAAGCAAATTATCGAAAAAGGGAATTTAATTTAGACACGCATTTAGCCTTCATAGGTTATGTCAATGCTTCCGAGTGAGTGCTAAGAAACTAATATAGAAACATCATGTATAAAAGAGGTTATCCGATACGTTTGATACAGACAATCCAACAAGTACATAAAAACAATGAAACTATCATTCACATCGGAGGAAAATTTTCGCAGGAATTTTCTATAAATCAAGGCAGCTTATCACTTACATTATTCAATGTTTATCTCGGTGATAAAATAAATGAATGGTAATTTAATGTTCCACAAGACATTCTACTTTCAAATAATATCTCAATTAACAACTTGCTGTTCGCAGATGAACATATAATTTTACCAGAGAGAGGAGAAAATTTGCAGATATTGGTACATTCCCTCCAAAGAATAGGATATGAATATAACATGAAAATAAAAAACCAAACCGTTCCAAAAACTAAAACTATAGCATTCCGTCAAAACTAGGATCGTTGAGGATGGACACTATCTAGAACAAGTAAAATCATTAAATTATATAGGTTGTAATATTTCTTTAGAGTGGGATGAAAATATAGAAAATAAAATTACTTATACTTTTAAAAAATTGTGGATTATTAGAAAACACCTCAAAAATAAAACAATAAAAGAAACTCAAATAAAACTCTACAAAATAATAGCAGTACCAGCATTTCTATATGGCTCAGAATCATGGGTAACTCGTAAGAAAGACATGTCAGAGGACAAGCAGTTGAGATGAGCTTCCTGAGATCTGTGAAAGGCTGCACTAGACTCGATAAAATAAGGAATATTGACATACGAAGTAAACTCAATATATTCTCACTATCCACTCGCACAGAAGAAAAAAAGGAAATGGAAAGAGCACGTTGAAAGAATGACCGATGGAAGATTCCCAAGAGAAACAAAGAAATATTTACGCCCTGTGGAAGAAGAGATCCAGGTTGCCTGAGAAGAGGACGAGAGGCCGGAACAGGCATCGCCCTAATCTTTGAAACCAGAAGAAAAAGAAGAAGATAAAACCTACAAAGGAAATTTCAGCCATTCCACTGGCGTGGACGAACATTTGAATTATTTAAAATACGTATTATTGAAAATACGTATTTCATATACAAATATTAAATACTGCCCAACCCTACTCATTACAAATCGGACAACACTTGGTGCGAAAACGAAATATTTTCAAGAAAATATCAACACAAATTTGACTATTATAACTGATTATCATACAGGTAAATCATGTCCCTCCAAAAAGACGCAATATACAAAAGAAATTAGCTTGCCATTATTTTGGAGTCATTGTAGCATTCCAATATGATATTCTCTGAAAGCTAGCAGTATTTCAAATAGGTTTTAAATAATTGCTAAAAGATTAATGTGTAAAATAGAATAAAATATTGAATGAAACACTCGAAAAAGTATATGAAATATACAAATTCTTACATACGAAGCATCCAAATTTCAGGAATTACGAAAACGAAGCCCAGTACATTCAGACCGGCAATATTTTTGTTTCCAATTTAGCCCAAAAATACTCATAATTTCAAAAAATTAAATAAGACCTTATTTGAAGATCTTTTTTTGATAAGCGCACCCTCTCCTGTCATGGATTTTCACCCACACCACCTAGATATACAGTTTCTAGGTGATGTTGCTTCCATAGCATGTATGATATCTTAAGCTGAACAATATTATAATTTTATGAATGATGGCCTAAATTACACATCTCTTTAAGAATTATTTTCCTCCGTTATGAAGGAACGATGAAAGCCATCGTCAGACAATATTTCGTTAACTTTATGTACTCGTATATCAATATATTAATAATACAAGTTGTAGAATCAAGTAAAGTAAGAGAGCGAGGCAACAAAAACAAATTAGTATTGTCATTTTCAATAGGAAATTATAATTAAAATAAAATTAATTATTTTTCATACAATTCATCCAGTGTTGTTCATAGCCCGTAGTTAGTGTGAAACCTGTATATATTTCATTAATTTCAACCAGAAATATCTAAAAAAGTACTCGTTTTTTCAAATAATTGTACATGATCTTTTTAAATAGCAAATTTTGTACATAGACTGAGAAAAAAATCTCTATTTCCAATTTTGAAATTTTAAATATTTTTTCCAATTTTCAAAAAGTCTAGGGAATGAAGAAAAATGAAAATTGCACAATTCTCTTAAACGTCTTTTGCACTATTCATCAACAAACTTTAATCAAAAAATTTGGAGCCAAATTTTGAAAATGATGAAAATGGTCCAGAGGCGTTATGTAAAGTACCCACCAAAATTGAAGTATCGGTTTCAAGTTCTATGGTCCGTGACATTATCTGGAATGATAACGGAATATCAATTTTGGAGAACATCAGCTGAACGGTTTATGTTCTTGTGTTGTGCACAGACGGACAGACAGACATTTTGCCGTCAATCGATTTTTCGGTGTCAAGCACGGTGTCACAAAACATAGAATATGGTTACACCAAGTATTAGATGATATTTTTTAAATTAATCTGTTTGATTTATCCAATATTTTCCTTACCAGGAAATGAAGAGTTTTTGTGTCAAAAATTAGCGGCTTTTGGGCGCACGATTACAATACTTCTCTTTCTAAGTTAGAATATGCGAGAAAGTAAAAAGGGGGAACGCCGGGATGATTGGCAGGGGGTAGTGAGATTTAAAAAAATGAAACCCCGGTTTGGGTACTTTCATCATTTTAGTTTTTGAACTGTAATTATTGTATACAATTACAAAATTATGATGTGAAGTACATTCCTAGTTCTCGGAACGAATTCCTGTTTTAGAACAATGTATACCAAGTTAAATACGTTCAAATGAAAGCAATAATTAAATTAGTTGAAATTAGTTTATCATAAGTACAATGTAATGATAGTTATAAATAATTTCTATCAGTTACCCTTATTAGTTGGCCGTAAAATTTAATAATTATTTCAAAAGTAGCGCAATTGATCACTTGTTAAACCCGCCTCACGTTAGTCATTTCTACCAGATCACGAGTTATCACAAGGTCTGCTACAAAAACAAGGGTATGCAGAGCCGTATCAAAGAGACAACAATAGTCTTACACTTGTGCGCACGCACTTTGCGAATCAAGATCGGGCGAGTCGCTCGCACCTGCGGCGGATGGGGATTGTCTACGCAGTCGAGGGGGGGGGGGCGTACACGTGTTTCATGAGTTGTCTACCGCGCCACTCCATGCTGCGCCGTAATTCGTC